TGATCTCACCCACTCTCTGCAACTCCTCTTTCCTAGCCGTTCACTCCAGTGAGACCAAGGATGACTCATGGTGAGGGACCAGGGAGCTGGTGGCAAACTAGACCAATTAGTTGTCATTTGAGTGGGTGCTGTAGGCACCTGGCCAGGCGTAGGTGAAAGTGTGATAGCTGAATGACAGAGACTGGGCATGCCAAGAAGATGTACCTTCCCCTGAAAAGAAAAATGAGTGAAAGCAAAAGTTACCAAGAAAAGCAAACTGAGCTCTGTTTCTGGCATTCCCGAGGAGTAACTGAAGCTCCCAACTACAGTGACAGCCGTTGATTGTCACTACCCAGCTGACAGCCCACCCTGCTGGTTGGCACGCCTCACATTTATGTCCCGGTGGACCAGCTGGGGCTGGCAAAAATGCAGGATCTGACGCACCCAGTCTGGCCTGGGGCCCAGGGTTCTGCATTCCTAACATTCCCAGGTGATGCTACTGCTGGCCCCTGGACGCCACTGAACCAATCGGAACACAGTAATGTTTGAGACAATAATTACACAGGATGTTTATTCTCCATCCCCTGCATTGGATTGTGGACGGAGAATAAATTGTACTAAATTCTGCCACACTACGTGACACAAACCAGTTGTGCCTTACAGGCCCAAGATTTGTGCACAAACTGCCCTGAAAAAAGTTGTAGAGCTGGATGTACATGAGAGGAAGCTGCAGCAGACCAATGGGTGGGAGGTCTGCAGAGGACACACTTGGTAGAGTGCGTTGAACATCCAACAAGGGTCTCAACCTTTGATGCCAATGTAATGGGCAACTTGGATGCCTTTCTTGAAACTTTACAGAGCGTTTTTTCAAGAAATTAATAAAGCTGATTATAATTTATAGATCCTGAAAGGTCCAATTTGTTTTTCCTTTATTGACTGCATACTTGATTGAAAATGTATACCCTCCCCAACTCCTTCCAAGAAAGGATAAGCATAGCTTTATCTTTTTTTTGTATTGTTTTCTCCCAAACTACGAACGTGTAGTCTTACTGCTTATGCAGCTGAACAAGCAAGAGACTGGGAAGCTTTATCTGAATTTTTCTTCCTTAATTTTTTTAAAAATTTCAGACTATTAAATAGAAGTAAGTGCTCACAAGAAGAAAAAAAAATGGGGCTTTTTACTACAGAAAAGAACAAAGAAAAAGAAGTCACCTATGATATCAGCATTCAAGATCAACCACTGCTGAAACCATGGTGCATTTCTTCCTAGTTTTCTTAATGCTTTGTTGAGAGATAATTTTACAGCCTTGTTTATTAAAGTGTCTGTATGCGTCATTTTATATTATAATTTAAGCTTTTTTTCAAGACTAAACTTCATATACCTCTTTTTAAACAATATTTGATCACATATAAGATTATATAGTAGAAAATGTCCTTTAACTTTTTTTTTCTAATTTCAAGAGATTTTTTTTAAAAAGGGGGAAACTGCTTTGGTCTCATCCTTCTGAGAATATTGTGAGTCCTGGTTTAAGCCGAAAGGGGATATTTCCTGTCTGGCACTGTACCTAGCATATTATCTAGTAATTCAATGGTTGGTTTTTAATGAAATGCTAATGCATTTTATTTAATAGGGTGTTTTTGTGTGTGTTTTGTTTTGTGTGTTTTTTTTTTTGTATAAGCATATACACAACCTTAATCTGAGGATCCAGTTGTCAAGACAGAAACATAAATTGTTAATATGTATGGGCTTCAGAAGCTTGTGATTGGTGTTGTCAGTAGTCTATCCTTATGGCTCATTGTTTGCGTTATGTAATGTTGCATTTATTTTCTCTAACAGCTGCTGGCTCAAAAATTCAGGAGCAGTGTGTCTGGGCAGCTCTGACCAGGGTCTCTCATAGGTTGCCAAGTCTGAGGGCTGTGTGGTTTGAGGGCTTGGCTGGGGCTGGAGGACCCGAGTCTGCTGTGGAGACACGCTCCACGCCCTTGTTGTGTGGCACAGCCCTGCACCAGCTCTTCCTCATGGGGACGGGTTCTGTTCCATTCGGTGTTTCTGTATTTTGTTCTTCTAGCTATTCTCTCTTTAAAGCTCTCTGTTGAGCTTTGTATATCTGCTGTGGAAATTCCAATCTTCACTTCGGATAGGTTAGGTGAGTCAGTGGTGAGAGGAACATGCCCTTATTATTGATGATCTTATTATTGATGATCCCTGTCTTCAGGTGACTTGTTAGTAAACAGGGTGGTCTGCTATCACTGAATGCTTGTAGGGTGACTATGTGGAAACCATTGCCAGCACTGGGCAAGTTGGGTCGGTCTCTCTCTCTCTCTCTCTCTCTCTCTCTCTCGTCACACACATACACACTGGACTTGAAGACAGACTGTAGTTGAACAAATTAGTCTCTTAAAATGACAGTCTAAAATTTCAAATCCAAACAAGGGGTCTGCAGCAATAATAAAATTCACATTGTACGCAAAATGTAGTCTCTAAAGTGAAATTGTTCTGAATCACGAAAACCTTGAATTTATCTACTCCTTGTCCAGAGTTTGCTAGGTGATTCTGCCTGATGAGAATTCTCCTGACATAGTGTATACAGTTTACCTTTCACAATGTATGTTTTAAAAATTTAAAACCATTTACTAGCCATCTCTTTATTTGATGTAGAAAAGCATGAGTAAAAATATAAATATCACCTGCAATCCCATTGCCAAAATAACTTTATTTGTATAATGAAAAGATGTCTGCACCTTGAAAGGACATTGAGACAGATCCAAAATACACAGTTAACTCTCAAAGCCTCCTCTCTTCCGTGCCTTGAAGGTGGCCAGTTAAAAATTTCATCTCCCTTTAGAAAAATAAAAGGCCCTTTATGAACTTAGCCATTGCAGGAGCCATGCACACATCTTAGAAATTCACACAAAAAGGGGCCCTACCACGTACACTATTCTCACCTGTGGTTATTAATTTTAAACTTATCTTTATTGTTGAGAGGATTACAGATGTCCCCCCCCTTTTTCCCATTGACTCCCTTCACCCCACACCCGCCCCTCCCAGGCCTTCACCACACTATTGTTTGTGTCCATGGGCTATGCATATATGCATATAAATTCCTCAGTTAATCTCTCTCCATGCCCTCCCCCCCTTCCCCCCAATCCTTCCTTCCCTCTGAGATTCATCAGTCTGTTCCATGTTTCTATGTCTATTTTGTTCATCAGTTTATTTTGTTCATTAGATTCCACATATGAGTTAGATCATGTGATACTTACCTTTCTTTGACTTGCTTATTTCGTTTAACATAATACTCTCCAGGTCCCTCCATTATGAGGTGGGGCCACAACATTAGTAACAAAGAAACAGAATTTCCGGAGGATGAGGCCCAGAAATCAGGATTTTAAAAAGATTCCCATGTGATTCTAATGTGCAGCCAAGGTTGAGAACCACTGCTCCATGCTGTCTCAAATGGTAAAAGATCCTTATTTTTTACAGCTGCATAGTATTCAATAGTGTAAATGTACCACAGCTTTTTTATCCGCTCACCTACTAATGGGCACTTGGGCTGTTTCCAGATCTTAGCTATTGTAAATAGCACTGCTATAAACATAGGGGTGCATATGTTCTTTCTGATTGGTGTTTTGGGTTTCTTAGGATATATTCCTAGAAGTTGGATCATTGGGTCAAATGGGAGTTCCATTTTTAATTTCTTGAGGAAACTTGGTACTGTTTTCCACAGTGGCTGCACCAGTCATCATTCCCACCAGCAGTGTACTAGGGTTCTCTTTTCTCCACATCTTGTGAGGAACGCAAACACTTGTCGTTTGTTGATGGTAGCCATTCTGACAGGTGTGAGGTGATACCTCGCTGTTGTTTTAATTTGCATCCTTGGATGATTAGTGACTTTGAGCATTTTTTCATATATCTCTTGGCTGTCTGTAAGTCCGCTTTGGAGAAGTGTCTATTTAGGTCCTTTGCCCATTTTCAAATTGGGTTGTTTGTCTTCCTTTTTGTTAAGTTGTATGAGTTCCTTATATATTTGGCAATTAACCCTTTATCAGATGCATCATTGGCAAACACGTTCGCCCATGCAGGGGCTCCCTTTTCATTTTGTTGACCTAACATTATCTGACGAACATCTTTTCACATCAATGCCTGCATTCCAGCTTCATTCCTGTTGGGGGCAACACAGTGTTCCACAGCACAAATTCAGCCAGTCATCTCTTGATGTATATTTGGGTTATTCTCAGGCTTTTGCAATTACAGATCTTTATTTAGATCTCTTGACATACTTTTGATGTCCCTAAAGGGAATTCCTTGGGATGTAATTCTTGAGCCCACTTTTTTTTCTTTGCATCTGACTGTTGCTTTCCCATCTACATTATTCAGCCTCAAATCTGGCAGCACCAGCCTAGAATGATACTTACCACATGAAAGGCAACTGTCTTCTTCGAGGTTTTCCTGGGGCTTTAGGTAATTTCCAGGCTTGAATATGGAAGTCAGGTAAACAAGCTCAAAGCTCATGACATCATATGTCAGCTCCTCAGTTTAGAGCAAGTTGAGTGCTGTGCGAGGTAGGGGGTACTGAAAAGTTTCAGGGGCGTTTCATTCATTCAACACATGCTTATCAGTGTTTTGTACATGTCAGGCACTGGGGGAACAAAGCTAAAAAGATGTGCTTACCTTCCAGGGAGCAGTGGTTTGTGCAAAGCAGCCCAATGAGGGCACCAGAAAATGGGTGAAAAGGGGCTTGAATCAAGACCTGCAGGAGGGTCAGACTATACGATGAAGGCCGTGGGGTGGGAGGAAGGGCATTCTAGGCAGAGGCCGCTGCCCGTGTGAAGACTTGGAGGCAAGGAAAACTGACTGGGGTTGGCACTGGGAGAACCCAAACCGTGGAGACATATGTGGCCATGTTGGAATGGTCAATGCAGATCAAATCCCAGTCCTGGGTTTACTTTCCTCTCACGGCACTTAGTCATAAATGAGATTATTGAAACTATGCCTAACACATAGTATCCAATAAATTGTGCTCATGCTCATGGTAATGCATGGCTGCCTTTCAGGAATACAGTGTCTGACTTTGGAGTACTAGAATCCCTAAAGCCACATAAACATCTCCCCCTGTCAGTGGTGTTATCATGGAGAAAGATGTTTTACAGAAATGGATTTTCAAGTAACTGAAGTTTATTCTCTTGGTTACGAACTTTAAAAACATTACATGATGAATGATGGCATTTTTCGCACATCTGAACATGGGTAATATCCTTTCCCTTCTGGATGATCAGGACTAATTGCTCTGTATTGTACCATCTGCCCATGGGTTTGTGTGTGCTTCTTGGTGCCTCCATCTCTTTCCTTGGCTGTTTGTCAACTTCCGTTTCTTCTGCCCACTGCCCTTCCTCTCCTCTCCACAGTTGTTTACATGGTTGTTATGAAACTGTATGTCCTAATGAGAATGCTATTAATGTAAACATCATGTTTGCTTACTTGCTCTTCATTGTGAATTAAAATCATGCACGTTTCTTATAAATAAAGCTTTGTTTTAAAGAATTCTAACTGTACAGAAACAGAGAGCATAAAAAAATGAACATAGTTCTTCCAAAGTATTCCTTCCACACCTACCCTGTATGGATCAGGGGCGTCCAGAGAAACAACCAATAGAGAGTGTGTGTGTATCTTTAACTCTGTATATCTATAGATATCTATAGACACACACACACACAGATTTATTTTAAGGAACCGGTTCATGCGATGGTGGCGGCTTAGCAAGTGCAAAACCTGCAGGGTGGGCTGGCAGGCTGGATACCCAGGGAGAGCTGTAGCTCAAATCCAGAGGCAGAACTCCTTCCCACGCTGTTCTCTTCAGGCCTTCAGCTGATTGGAGGAGGCTCATCCACAGCACGGAGAACAGTCTGCTCTACTCTGCATCTCCTGATTTAAACGTTAATCTTATCTCCAAAGTACCTTCACAGAAACACCTGTCTCACGGGCGCACACCCCAGCGTTCCGTCCTGGCCTCCCAGGGTCTGTTGCTCTCTCTGCTCCAGGGCCTCCTGGCTGGTCCCTGGGAGGGCCGGGCATGCCCTCTGCCTGGACCTTGCCCTCATGTCCCTTGGCTTGTTCCCTCACCTCCTTCTTACCTTCCCAGTGTCTCCTCGGTGGGTCCGCCCAGCACCCTGCTTAAGACAGAGCTATGCTCCCTGCACTCAACCACCTCCCGTGGCCTAGTGTACATTCTAACACTCTATCCCTTACATGTTAGGTCTACAGTTTATGTCTTCATGAGCCCTCTACCCCCCCGCCCCCCTTCATGAAGGCAGGGATCTGGGTTCCCTGGTGTTTCCCAGGCGGGGTGCCGCACTCGTAGTCCATGCTCAATGAACATTTGAGGATGGACTGATATGGCCCTCCTTGTTCCCCTGCTGCTGGCTCAGCCCCTTGGGCTCAGCACCTCTGACCCACTTCCCTCTCTATTTCCAGACCGGCCTCATTGTCGCCTGCTACCATGGCTTTGTGGATGCTGTGGTGGTCTTGGCAGAGTGCCCCCATGTTGATGTCAACTGGCAGGACAGCGAGGGGAACACCGCCCTAATCACAGCTGCACAGGCAGGTAAGACCCGGCTTCTTCCCCTCAGAGTCCAGGCCTGAGAGCAGCTGCTGCGGTGTGGGGGGCCCTGGGCATGACCTCAGCTCCAGACATGAATGTAAGGAGGGAACCTGAGCAGGGATCCTGTCCTGCTCAGAGGGACAAGGAAAGGGCGATGGGTGTGGTGCACACCTCTGTGCACTGGGGACCGTGCAGTTGACCCAGCAGTGCAGAACTCAGTGCTGGGCAGAGCAAACCCGGAGACGCCCCAAAGCTTTGGAGGCTGAAGCTGCACCGCAAACCCAACCTGGTGGTCACTTCACCTAGAGCTTCGCACCCACCCCCATCGGAGACTCGGGATCAGAAAGATTCGGAGGAACTCACTAGCGGAAGAGACATGCCCGGTGTTAGTGATGATATAAAAGTAGACACGCTTCCAGGGCCGCCTTGCACTCGGCCTGGAGATGTAGAGAGAGCCAGGAGCTTCTTGCGGGGCGTGTGTCAGTGTAACGCGGCGGAGCTGTTCATGAGACACCAGGTGAGCATGCGTCCCAGTAAGTGTCCTTCTGCCCAGGCGTCCTCTCCAGAGGTGTCTGCGTTCCCACACCGCCGGGCACTCCGTGGCTGTCCTCTCCCAGAACTGCATGCAGGCCTTTTTGAGACAAACATGACAGCTATGCTGGCCGCCTCAGGGCTGCACTTGGTTTGTAACCGTGGTATTAACCGGTTTCGTAACTGACCACTTTCAAAATGCTTGGCTTCCAGGATGACAGCCTTGCATCATGCAGGTTCTCAGTTGCAAAGAAGCGCTTCTGGCTGAGCCAGAAGGACCAGGTGTGGGCGGCTCGGGCTGGAGGGAGTTGTTGGGAATCCGATCCAGTCAGGGCCGTGGAGCTGGAGAAAATGTCCCAAACCACACCACCGCACATTGGTTATGGAAAGTAAACATCTGCCGCTGCCCGCAAAGAGAGACCTCCCTGCCTGTCCCGTCTTGCACCACCAGCTGGTGTCTGAGCAGCGTGGGTGACTGAGCAGGGAGCGCCCGGAGGCTGGAGAAGCCAGTGTCTGCAATGTCACCCCCCACCCCCTGCCCCTGCCCGCCCTCATGTGCGGGAAGCAGCCTGTGTACATGCCTTTCAGTCAGGATATGGGAGGTGGAGAAAGCCCTGACTTACAGAGAGGTCGGGCTGTGCTAGCACACGGTTGTTTCTCCAGGTTTTGGGGTGTGAAGCTTTACCACCACAGAGGTAGGGCCACTAGGCTTTGAAAGCCCAGTTGCACAACTTCCTGAGCTGGGAAAGTGGAAATGGATATGGTGACCGGGCAGTGACCAGGGGCTCATCATTCAGTGCCTCCCACTGGCCAGGAGCTGGGTCGGTGCCCAGGGGGTGGGAGTCGAGGGCATTTCTGCCCTTGGGTAGTTCTCCAGTTAATGGCCATCTGATGGAGCTCTAATGGCGGGTGCCCTGGATGCCGTGCGGTGAGAACACTCCATCTAGCTGGTGGGTCAGGACAGGGGTTGTGAAGGAGGGAGCTTGAGCTGGGTGGTGAAGAAGTCAGAGGCAAGCTGGTCCAGCCAGTGCATCCCAAAGCCACAGGGCCCAGAGGGAGCCGGTGCGTCTTAGGAATGGCAGGTTAGTGTGGCTGTAGGGGCTGCTTGTGTCTAGGACAGATGAGAAGCATAGATAAAATGTGAGGGGATGCCTGTGAGTGGCATGAGCCTGCATGTGTGGTGACGGGCCAGATGACCCTGGTGGGCCCAGAGGCGGTTGCAGAGGCAGAAAGCTTGGGTCTCGGTGGCTGTGAGGGGGGCGATGGAGGACAGGTGGGGCCTGGCCCGGCTGTCAGCCTCTGGACCGTGGGTGCTGCTGACTTCAGTGGGGGTGGTACCAGGATGGGCTCCAGTTGTGCTCAGGCCTTTGAAGGGCTGAGGCAGCTAAGTAAGAGGTCTTGACGGATGGGGATGGGGAGTGTGGGACATTCCAGTGAGTTCACAGGTGACACTGAGGCTGCTGGTCTGGGGACCCCTCTTTAGAGGTTCTCATTTTTTTTTGTGAAGGCTGCCCGTGAGGGGCCAGTGAGGACCAGTGCCCAGGGGTTGAGATGCATTAACCCCTACCCATGCTGCTCATGCGGGTGGGCTCTCCCATTGACATAATACATCACATTTACTGAGTAGGAGTCTCACATGTTTGGGTGAACTATCTGTTAGGCAGTATATTAAACTTTTTACTTTAACAGATTTACTTTTAGACTATAGAACATAGAGTGAGAACTGCTTTGAAAATGTATTTATCTCTTCATTCATATCCAATTTTAGCTTTCACATATGTAAAAAATAACTTATATTTCATTTTCTTTATTTTTATTATTTTAATCTTCACCCCAGGGGTGAGTATATATATATATATATATATATATAATTGAAACAGAAACATCAATTGGTTGCCTCTCAACTGGGGATTGAACCTGAAATCTAGGTATGTGCCCTGACTGGGAATCACACTTGCAACTTTTTTGGTGTACAGAATGATGCTCAACCAACTTAGCCACCCAGACAGCCAAAATAACTTAAATAGAGGTTCTCATTTTGAATGGTGGCTGGGGCAGCCTCTCAGAGGACATTAAAGCTGGGGGCAGGGGTCACAGACCTATGTGAGATGTCAGAGGATATACAGAGCCATCCTTAATCAAAGTGAGAATAAAGGAAAGCAACCAAGGGGCTGCTCTTGGCGTTTGGTGCTGTTGTACCAGAGCGTCTGTTTAGGCTTTTTGCTGCTAGAATCAGGTGATGTCCCATTTCATCCAGTTCCATAACCAGTTGTACTTATTTGATGATTTCTGTATTTCAGAAGATGTCTAGTCATATGTGCTTACAACAAAAAATCATTATTAAACCAAAAAAACCCCTTTCATTCTCCCAAATGCACCATCTCCCAAATTGACCAAGTTCTAGCTACTTGCCCTTTCAGATTTCTCCTTTTCCAACACAGGGTGTGCATCCACTTTTATTTAAATGAAGAGGCTAACCCAGTTGAGATCGTGGTTTTAACTTTTCGCACTTACTAGATCTATATCTTTTTCGACTTACTAGATCCATATCTTTTCTACCGACATGCACAAGATTACTTTGTTCTTACAGGCACATTCCTGAGTGTGATTGTATGTTCCTGGCTGTGTCCCCCCTGACAATATCTGTGAGATAGTTCAATAAACCGTGGCTCACCCATTCTATACAAGATTCTGCTATTACACAAATACTTATTTAGGAAATACTTCATGTACATCAGCTGCGCTAAGTGCTGGGTCTACCACAATGAACAGAAGCACACCTACTCCTGCCTCCCAAAGTCTAGTTCATGTGGGGGAAGGGAAGGCATTTGTGTCTGGGTGGTGCATTTCTGAGGAGGATGCATCTAGCAGGGTCCTGGCTGGAACAGGTGGAGCAGTAGGCGTGCTCAGAGGGTAAACTGAGGAGCTTATCAGGGGACTGTTAGTGGGGGCGGGGCGGAATTAATGGACAGGACCCTGGAGAGAGTTACCCTGGCAGAGGGCTTGGCTGCCTTTCAGGCACCATAATCTGAGCAGGCCCCTTGGGGGGAGGCGGGTGGGGAGGCTAGGGTAAGTACCCCCCTCTGTTTCCTCCATCCAGGTCCCTTTGCTGAGCCCCACTGGAGACTTTAGGGCTAAGGAACAGGGCAGATTTTGGAGATTATCATCCCTGCAAAGCAAGGCAGAGAAGGAAAGAGAAGTGCCTGGATAGCTTCTTAGAGCTTAGTATAGGGCATGTACATTTTTTAGAATTTTTCTTTTTAAATATATATCTTTTATTTCAGAGAGAGTAGAAGAGAAAGTGAGAGAGAGAGAGAAACATTGATGAGAGAGAAACATTGATGGGCTACCTCCTGCACATCCCCTACTGGGGATTGAGCCCACATGTGCCCTGACCAGGAATCAAACTGGTGACCTCCTGGTGCATGGGACGGCACTCAATCAGCTGAGCCGCACCAACTGGTGGCATGTACACTTATGTACACTTTTTAAAGATGCCAACTGGCCTTTAGAAAAAACTGTACCAATTCATAGTTCCCAGCGATCCCAAGGGTGTTCTTGCCAGCTGGGGACATGATCACTTTTCAGTGTTTGCTGATTGTTGTTTGCAGTTGCGTTTGCCTGATTCTCACCAGAGCCTAGGATCTGCAGTGCCGTTGGGGTGCAGTGTGCGGAGTACCCAGTGAAACGGCTTCCACAACGAGGAAATGGCCTTCTCACGCAACAGGACGTGTCTGAAGGTGATAGCGGGAGGGTTGCTTCACTGGGTGGCTCCGTGATGTCAGGACCTGGGGCCAGCTTCTCAGAAATGCTCTTGACCTTCCCCTCGTGATCTCAAGAAGGACCTGGTATGGCTTCCTGTTGCCACACACAGAGGCCTCACAAAGGAGGAGCCAATCCCTGTCGTGTTTCATTCTCTCAGAGGGAAAAACATGTCCAGAAGCCTCCAGCAGTTTCGTTTACGTCTCATGGCCGGGTCACATGGCCCACACCAAAACAACTGGCTGGCAAGGGAGGTGGAATGACCTCAAGTGACTTGGTCCAGCCAACACCGGCCCCAGCAGAATCTGTGCGGTTAAGGAAAACTAAACAGCCACATGTTAATATTATTTGCTACTGCAACTGTGTTGAATGTCTGAGAGTCGGCAGTCCTGGCTTTCTACAGGACTCACTCGGCGTCTGTGAGAATAAATTAGGAGGCAAATGCTGTGATCTGCCTGCCGGGGGTTCTCTACAGTCTAACCTCTGTGGCTACTGAATGCACAGTAAAAATGCAGCCAAATCTCTATGAGGCCTTGCAATGGAGAGGAGAATGTATGGCAATAAATCCTCAAGTAATCCCTCCATCTCATTTAGCCAGTAATTTCCATTTCTACCGTACCTCCCCTAACAAAAATACAACACAAAATAAGATAAGCGAAGAAATGAATAGTAAGTCCCAGGGATGGAGTTATGTGTTTCTTGTTCCTCCT